ATTGTTTTAAAACAATGACATGTGCTTTAGGAGATAAATTATTCTAAATTATATAATAGAACATACTTTATCAAAACGACTACTTAAATTTATTGACATCTGTATAAAACTATTAATTAAAAAAATTTTTTGTTGTCATCGTTCATATAATTTGTTCCCCATTATGTACACCTTGACACGTTGGTGTGTAGCAGAATAGATACAAATTTGTCCCCCGGTGGGTCAACGGTAAGTTTACAGATTTAAATAGCTAATATCCGGATTTCGATTCTTATTGTCTAGCTTTACGGCATAAGAACAACAACAAATAATTCCCTACCTACCTATTTTTTCAGCAAGTAGGGCTGCATTCTCATTCCCAATCGTTTCTTGTACTCCTTTGAAGACGTCACTGTCAGTCGTATGGCTGATGGATAGAACGACATAGACTGGAGATGGATTGTCTATGGCGAAAAATATCACACGATAAAGCACGTACTAACAATCGTCCTTATAGTTTATTGTAATAAGATTCTTGTGCAACACACCTATAGCGAATTATAAATTTAAGAGCAAAACAAAAATTTCAGTTAACACTAAATAATATTAATAGGGGTGTTCGTGAAGACAATTGGATATTAGAGCAAATAATTTATTAAAAACAAACTTTAAGTTATTTTCTGCAACATACTGTAGAGCGTATTATTACAGTGCTACGGTCATATTTCACTGAAACGTCCATTGAATAACCTTGGGAGTGTTAATCTTATAAGATTTAAGTTAGGTTTAAACCCATACACTAAGTTATCAATTCTGAGTTGTTATAAAATTACCCATAAGTTTCTCATAACATTGATTTTATTTAAATATATATAAAATAAATCAAAGTTAACACTTAATCAAGACGTCCTAAATTGTGGAACAATCAACACCAGTGATTACTTAGTCAACTTATACCAATTTAATACAAAGATCAAACGAAAGGTAAAGGAATAATCTTATATAGTTAGTTTCTTTTACTAGAAAAATAGTTTCTAAAACAACAACAACAAAACAAAAAACGATGACTCCATTAATTTTGAGAAACATGTTCAATTTAAACATGTTACGTTATTACCCATGTTATTAATCTTATCGAAACGACAACCAAAATCGTCCACAGAAATTTCTGCAGGGGGGGGGGGAAGTTTAAATCAAGGGTGTGTTTATATATATACGTATATATATACTGAATGAATAAAAAATTCTCATTTTCCAGGGGAGCAGATGACCCCTTGCCTCTCCCCACGGTCGCTCACGACGACAACACAAACTATGTATCACCAGGGTGAATAATAATGGATAAAAAAGACATATTAATTTATTTTTATTCAAAAATATGTGGCAAACAAAGTTAAAATACGATTAAGCAACAATAATCTCTTTTGATGTAATTTATTTATTAATTATATAATTTGAAATCAAGCACTGTTATTCACGCAGAATAAAGTGACAAGGACATTTTATAGTAGTGTTTACATGTACAGACGCTTCGTGAGTAACAATAAATAGTACCACCAATTGGTATCAAATGATAGAACTACATAAAATGTTATAAATTTCAATATCTCCGGAATGTATAAACCAATATTACAACTTTTGAACATAAAATAAAGCTCTTACTAGCAGTGACTTCAGATATTTATTATATAGTTTATTAAAAAAGTTGGATTTTAACTTCTAGACGATGATACAAATACATTTTTAACGCTTGTTTCTCATCCAAAGTTTCGTAAATTGGAATCAACTGAGCATAGATATACAATCAATGAAAATTATATACTTACATATGATTAAAAAAAAAAGTTATACTGTAAGTATTGGTGAACGTAAGTTGGGAACAAAAAAATATATGAAAATTATACTTTACGTAAAAATAAAATTGGTTTGGGCTACATATATGAGAATATTATATGACCAAATATTAGTATGAGGACATGGCATAAAAACTAATTTATTATGCAACTGATCGTGGAGGTGGAAATCCTTAAAATGTTCATATTTCATAACTATGTTAGTAGTTGAGAGTACTTATAAAGAACTGATGAAAATATTATTCAAACAGCTGGGGGGGGGGGCAAGTCAAATACATTTATCATTGAAAATATTGCTTCAAATATAACAGTACAAGAAGAGCAATGTGTAACAGAAAAAAATTAAAAAATGTTAAGATTAGCATGCCACTCAAGTTAATGATTGGATTGAAAATTTAATCAGTGCTACAAGTTGAAACACCAAAGTTTTTAATAAACATAAATATACAAAAGTTTGCAAACAACACGCATGTGCTGTATGATAATAATAATGAAATATTTAATATAAAAGTTATGAAAGTATTAAACATCATAAAAAAGGAAGAAAAAGTATCTTTGATGATATTGCAGTCATCTTTTTATTATTAGACTAAGGATATTTAAAGTATTTATCTTAAATATTTCTTACCTGTCTAACATAATACTTTGACTTTGTTAGTTTTCTTTTTTAAAGATGGATGCTAACACATTAAAATACTCTTGGTGTGCACTAGGGAAGACTTACATCTTTATTTGTCCAAGGAAGGTTTTGATCTTTAATATAGCGAGCTGCTATTAGAATAGTTAAAGTTCAAAGAACTAAAACATAAAGTTTAACACATTTGTATCTAAGTTTTGAAAAACAAAAACGATCAGCATTACCACTCTGCCAAATATTTTCTATCAGTTTTCTGGCAATATCATTTCCTGCTGCAGTTTTCTTGTCTGCTGGAAGGTTAGATACTTTTAGGTCTAAAAACAACAGCAACATCTTGTTCTTGTATAATGAAGATTCTGCAAGACAGTATTAAATATCAATGTTTTTGTTATCACATTTCCTTTTTTCTCCATAAAATTTGTGTTTTTGATAGCTGATTATCTTAAAACAAATATTGTGGAAAACATTTTTGAATTTATGTAAGTGATTTTGTTATTTATTCAATGTTTTCTATGCTAGCAGTTATTACTTTGGTGAAAGTGTCATAAATGAGAAACAATAAAACAACTCATTCATAAATAGCTATGGTTAGTTTATGTTGTGATGTTTATTAAATGATGAAAGCTGGCGAAGAAATTAAACTAATAGGCCTAATATTAATGATAATGGGCCAGATAAGGCCTAGATGTTTTGCATGTTAGACTTTGAATCAGAAAGTCCATAGTTCACGACCCACTACTGTAAAATTGCACTTCACTCTTTGGATCTGGGGGTGTGTTATGAAGGTATGAGTCAAGTCCCATTATTTGATTACAGTAGCACAGAAGTTGGCAGTGGGGCTGTTGACTTGCTACCTATCCCTCAAATTTCTCAGCTCAAAATTAAGGACATCCATGTGTAGATACCCCTTGTGTCACCTTGTGCAAAGTTCCAAAATAAGCAAATGAACAATTAGTAATAAAAAATCCCACTAGTCCTATCAAAACGATCTACTTCATTATAAGTAGGTTTCATAACTCTCGTGAAATTTCTTTCCAAAAATGAAACTAGTTGATAAAATTGTTTGAAACTAGACAAGAACTTTCCTAAAAGTATGTAGTTTCAGAAAAAGTAAAATATTTGATAATTATATGGTAATTTCTGTTTGTCTTAACATAAACATGCACAGATTTATATATGTTCCAAGTAATAGATTATAGTTGTGAATGTTTTATTTGGCGTTTTGAATTTTTTGTTTGCCTAGAATTTTAAAATATTTACTCAAAAACGACAGAAATTAATTGTGTTCTCTTATTAAGAGGACATCAATAACTGCTTTTCTAATAATTAAAAAGCAAACTACTTTGCATAAAGTTTAGGTGTACAGGAATATAATGTGTATTGTACCTTCTTATTTTAATGTAAAAATAAAAAAAAAATATATATGCTAAGTCTACGCAGTTCGCATAACACATGACCAAGAAATCTGTTGTTCTAGTTGTTTTCGTTTCTTTGGTATTATCTGGAGATAATACTTGTTCTACCCATTGAAGTTTCTGTAAGGCTATATGTTGTGCAATAATGTAGATGACAGCCTTGTATTCCACTGGTAGGCTAGATCAGTGCTTCTGAACTGGGTGAATGAGAATGATGGGGTAAATGGCTTTGTTTGTAATTAAGCACAAAGCTACACAATGGGCTATCTGTGCTCTGCCCACCACGGGTATCGAAACCCGG